CTGAATTATGAATTATTTATTTATGTGATAAAAAAAATTATTTATTTCCAAAGTGGTTTTTAAGACCAATTTCGTATTTTAAATCCTCTGTTTTCAGTATTAAAACAAGACTACCAACAAATATTTTTAAATAAAAGACAAATTTCTTTATAACCATATAATTTTTTGTCATAATAATTGGTTGATAATTAGTTCTTTTGAGTTCAAACAGAAACACTTACATAATTATTCCATTTTGACTTTCACTTTTCATAACATAGAGGGAGCTGTATTCATAGGCCATTAGGTTTTATTTTTGCATTGGTTACAAGTTCAACCCCTTTTAATAAATATTTTATAACACTATGGCTAGAGATACATGAACTGTACTACAATTTTGAAGGTAGAGTAACATGCTGATTGACCATTGTGGCCACATGACTTATGGAATATATGAGATACAATGGTGTATCTTGTCATTGCTTTGACTGATCTTGTAATATTTCAGATCAGCTTTAATTCCATTGTTAATGTTTTCTGGCAGATTGTATGGTTCTGCTGTATTTTGTACATCTGACAGAAATTACTTTTCTTAACTTGATAGAGCAGCATCTAACTGTAAGTATGTGGAAAATGTTTTGCGTAGAGAAAACTTGTATCTAATTGCATCAACCATTGCTGATGTCAATGTGTTTTTTTTTTCTTTCTTCCTTCCAACAATAAGCATGTTAAGGTATCTTTAAGAATGAATAGGTCAGTGTATAGTCTCTAGCCACAACCCTTTTATGAACTCACATGAAAACAAGTATACATACATACATATATATATGTAAAGGAAAATCCTAATCTGACCATCTCAAACAAAAGCTTTGTATTTCTTCATCCCATACTGTTGGTTTACCATACTCTTTTTAAAAATCAAACACCAAGTTTGATCCCATCCTTGGCCTTTATATTAATTCTTTAAGATATCTAATAACAGGAAGACATTTTTTCAGACTTGCTCCATCATGTTTAGGTAGCAAGGGGGTTGTACCATTAAAACAAGTACAAAGTCAGAAATAGTTTAGTACATACAGCCTAGTAATTCTTTTTCCAAAATAGACTATAATCACAGTGAATACTTAAACATTGCTATAGAAAAATAACAACTCTTGCTTAAAGGTATTAACAATAAGTATTGGAATTGAAGAGAGCATATTTTCTAAACCATAAGGATCAGTGATTTTTGTGATGTTACCAAAAGTCTTGCACAAAAGTATAATAAGATGCAACATTAAAGTAGCAAGAACTGTTAGAGACAAAACATTATACATACAAAAAATAGAATATTTCCACAGAAAACTATTCCAATAACTTTATATTATGACTCTATTCTTGTGGACATATTCAACAAAGAGTTTTGTAACATAATCAGAAAACAAAATTGAGTGAACTGTATATTTTATTGGTTGTTCAAAGATTATATTTCTCATGGTATGCCCCTCTTTTTTTTAATTTTAAAATACAAAAGTGTAAAATATTAAATTTTTCTGTTTACCAGAAATCCATGGAGAGACATCTAAAAGTGTAGAAGATAGCAGCAAAAAGGCAAAAATTGATGAAGAAAATGTAAATTCTCGTTGTCCGTCTCCTATGCTTATTTTTATACCTGATACACCAACAAGAGAGAGCTCGGATTCTGAACTTAGTATACAAGTGAGTACTGTTATTTGTGGATATAGAGCCACAAGTTCACTGAAGTGTCATAGTTTTTCTAAATTAGTAGATTTATACCACAAGTAATGCAGCTTATCCATTTACGATACAATTTGCACAAAATCAGACTTTAAAATAATGCATATTTTTTCCCTTTTTTGGGCTGTTATAAAAAAAACAAAAAAAAAAACGTATATTGCTCAGTTCAAATTTGCTAGTTTTTGTTAAGTAGCACAACTTTTGTTAAAAACAACTAAGTGTTTTAATTTGCAGATGTTGATAATGTTTTGTATCTTCACATTTGTCTATTTTGTTCTGAAGTTCAGAATAAAAAGCTGCCCAAGGTTAAAATTATTATGTAACATAAGTTTGTTAAGATAAATGCACAGAAAATCATATACAATATCAACTGATTTTTATAATCAAGATCCTGTTATCAGGTATTGTCACATTACCGTGTGCACATACTTGACTGGTGAAAGATGATAGCATGAAAGTGTGGAATACATGAAGAAATAATTATTTTTGTAGTAGTTTTCAAGTGTCTACCAACAAAAATCTTCCCACAGAATCATTGTTTTGGTTTATTGAATGGTTACTTTAGAGTTATAAAGAGAACTTGTCAAAAATGCCTGTATGTTAGATGAAAATAAACAAATGCTAAATCATAGAAAATGTAGGGGAATTGTATTTTAAATGTGTTCATAATAGCAATATCTGAAGCTGTGTGTGGTTTATTAAAATGTGTTTGTTTTAATGTGTTGATGGTGCTTGATGCTGGGAAACATATTTTGTGAATTTACAAGGTTTTCTTTGTAGTCAAATGGCGTTTATGTACTTAAATATTATCTGTGAAAACTTGCTCTCCTGACTTGTAGGTATAAACCAAAGATGCAAAAAAGAAAGTGTGTGTTTGTGTGGCTTATAATGTCCTTTTTTCACTATTTATGTTACATTTTGTCTCTGTTGTTTGAAAGTATTACTTAAGATTCTTATAAATATCCTCTGCATATTGTGTCATTGTTCATAAGCTGTATAGAACACAAGAGCTGCTGTAGAGGAAAATTTGTCTAAACTTTCACAGGAAAGTAATATAATTCAGGAATTGGAAGAGCAGTATTATTTGATAAAAGTATTATATGAAAACAGTTGTTATTTAAACATGTTTGGATGCATTTGATATTGGAGATATATAAAACATGAGCTTTATTATCATCTAATACTGATATTGTTACTATAATAATTAACTTAAACATTGGTACGTTGTCATAACATTGCCTGAGAAGAAGGAGAGGTGAACTTGGAGTATGCATGGTTGTTTGAAGGGTGGAAGTGTATCTGTCACACAAACAATGCATACAAGACTGATGTATAACCTGTGAAGCTAGTTTAAAATATTTCGTGTTACATAAAAAATTATGTATCAGAGAGATGCATGTTTTGATGCTGGAGTGATTACCCCCAAATTGTGCAGGATTTCTGGCATATTGGAATCACTTTTGTCTAAGACCATCTTAAAAAAAAATTGCATTTTGGAACCCAACTCCAAAAGTTGCTCCTCATGTACAAGTCATTTGAAGACAAGAAAGGAAGAAAATGATGACCTGATACTGAGATGTTGAGCTGTTTCCAGTTTGAGGAGATTATCAGAGGTTGTGCCTGACTTGGTAGATATCATGATTATAGAGGTAAAATATTGAGTTTTGTTTATTAAGTGTTATCATCAAAGATGTGTTATATAAAACTGTTTGTGGACTTTATATTATAAAGTGATTTTAATTACTATCCTTTCATCAAACCACTGCTTTCCTTGCTGTTACTTGAGATTCCACTAACTGGATTTTTCTCTGATTTTATAATATTTTGTAAATATGTATATAGTAATTTGTTTTTTAAGGTGCTTATAGCTCATTGATGTATGGATTACTAGTTTTGGACTCTAGGACAAACTAAGGACCTCAAACTTTGAACTTGAAAATAACACTAAACAATTCACTTTCAATTAATTATGTAAATTATTTCATTAGTATGTGCATATTAATAATACTACCCTACTAAATTATACATCAATTTAAAGCTCAAGAAGAAAGGAAATGCATGAACCTAACACCACAAAAGTCAAACTATCATAGAGGAAAAGAAAAAGAAAAAATGTATTTATTTTCAACACTAGAAATCAACCCTCCAGTTACAGACCTCTTATAGTTAGGGTATGACTTTTTACAACCAGTGTTTTGGTTTATTTCCTGCAGTATTTTCTCAAGCTGTTCTGTGTGAAAATTTGGTAGATATCCATGAAAATTTGACAAAACTACAATTGTTTTTGTCCATCAGGTAAGGAAAAAGCTGGAATGGAGAAAAACGTGATTAAAAATGAAAGTCACCATCACTTCAAGGTTTCATCATTACTTTATCAATTTTCCATCCTCAGGATTGATCTCATGTAGTAATACATGGTTCAGTTCTGCTACATTTAGACGTTCGTTTTCTTCTTCTAACATTCTTCTTATTTGCCATTGAAATTTCTTCAGTGTAAAATGAAAGGAAAATTCATCCAACTATTTAAACTTTTTGGCAGTAAATAAAACCCAGTGAGGATTTAACTTGCAAATGGCAAAGTAGTGGAGATAGTATCCAGAGAAGTATCACATGGAGTTGAACACTGTTCACTTGAAGCTTTGTTATCATCACCAGAGTGACATTACAAAAAGTGTTGGCATTGTTATAGTCTTTTAAGACCAGCCACTTTATTATGCATTGAGTTTGTGTTATAAAAATTGAGAAAATTACCACCAAAGAGGTTGCAAGTTGCCATCAATTTCATTGCTAGAGCAGTTACTATAGGAATATTTCAATTTTCAGTTTAGGATTATGATTTTCAATACCATTTTTGAGGGGTGTTTTGACAACATGTGTTGCAGGAACTGAATGTAGACATTTTAAAGTAGCAAATATCTATTTTTCGAAAAAGGGTGAAAAAAAATTAAACAAATAAGCTAGAAATGTTTTAATGTAAGTTGTCAATTTTTCTGATTTTAATTAAACAATCCAGTCGTATAGTGTTCATAGAAAATGGATTGGTTGGTTCCACCAGCAATCATTGATGCAACTTGGTTAAATCATCTAGGACAATGAAAGAGCTGTCTTGTATTATTGCAATAAAAAAAAAAAGTGTGATCTCCCCCATTATGTTTGTTGCTTAGTTCCAACTTAGTCTGAAAACTAATTGTTTGAAGTTAGTGTTATCAATAATTTATCTTAATTTTACCAAAACAAAAAGCTAACTTAAAATCATAAATGTTCATTGATTATCATGCTTTATGTGTGAAGCGTCCAGATTTGAGATAAGGTGACAATGTTTATGAAAGCAGATGTACAAATAGCAGTATTCTACCTTTCTTCTCTAATTTATTTACCATCCCTCCAAGAAGTACAAAATTTATTGTAGATTACTTATTATATTATTGTAATCTCAGGCAAAATATAATTTTCATAACCTTCAATCTTATTTGGTTACAAAGCCATGAAATAGACAACCAGACCCTTCTTGCCACATCCTCTCTTTCTGAAATTGCCAATAGTTCTCTCTGCCATTCAATACTATATTATTTATAACTAATAGAAAGTCAAGGTTTTCATCTATCAAATGATGTATTATATGATGTTGTTTTCTCTAAAGAGAATTTTCCATTTCACTTTTAGTTCAAACACATCAATGAGCTCAGATGAAGTTTTAACGGCTCTTGTCACACAGTTAGAAAACCATGAAAATTGTGATAGTTATGGGACATTGTCTGCTTTCACACATGATTATTTTATGTTCTTTGGTGCATTATTTAATTAAATGAAAAATTATTTAGTGCAGTACTACTATTAGTATAAAAAAAGTAGGATTAAATGTCATTGATGGCAAAAAAGAAAACCTTGATAAGCACTTTTCTTGTTTTTCATGCGTATTCTTTCTTTATTATTATAAAAATAACTAAAATGTAAAAATAGAATATTTTTTTACGTTAGTTAAGGTTAGATTAGTTGAAATGATATAATAAAAAATGTTCAAGAGGTATGCCCATAAACAGCTTGTGAGTAGCTCTTGCATTATGTATGAGCTGCACATTTGCCAGGTGATTTACAATTTATAATGGGTTCAAAGGGCAAAAAATCAATAACATTTAAGTGTACATAGATGTATACTGTTATGAGTGTAAGGCTACTTAAGATAAAGGAATGTAGTTTCAGATTACGATTTGAAGTCATTCTAGAAAGAAAGCAGGTAATTTGGATTTATTTCAACTGTTTTTGGTGGTTACGAGGTCGGTTAAATTGACCAACCGTATATAGAGTTGGAGTAGAGAAAATAACAGGTAAAATATAAAGTTTTACTAGAAAAAACACTTGAAATTTACTTAGGAGGTTTTAGAGATTGCACAAATAAAATTCTAGATTTTGAGATGAAAGAAAGTATTTTTAATCTTAACATGAAAATCACTTAGCACTCAGATTAGTATATAGAAATACTATATATATATATATATATATATGTATATATATATTCACGAACAAATCTCTATAAAAAATACTTCGTTAAAAAATCTGATTTTTTTGGTATACAAAAAGACTTGTAATGTTTACTAAAAGTCTACCAAATTTTGTGAAGATATGCAAAGTGTATTAAAAGTTATAATATGAAAACAAAATGGTTAGGAGGTCAGTCAATTTGACTGACTTTGTAGTGAGAGAATTAAGATTTTAATTTGTTGAGATTATTTTTTGATAAAGTTTTCATACTGCTTTAAGTAAGCACAATTCATTTTAGTCACGTTTGGAGAGAAGTAAACTGATTATATACAAAATAATTCTATAATGTAAAAATTATAATTTAATAAATGTTCTATTATCACGTAAAAATAAATCCTTTTAAGCTACAATTCAAAAGTTTTTGTCATATTGATTGGCATTTATTAAAGTTGTCATTTTGGAGTATTTTAGTAAATATCTTC